GGGGCTGGCGATGGCACGTAGTACTAGGCGTCTGCTGCGCGTGGCCCAGGCAGCGCGCAGGCGCCGCAGCTGGTCCATCTGTCCTATTTTGAGTGTTGCCCCGACCCCCTCGTTTGCACTGATATCCTCCTCATGCCCCCTCAAGTGCGCAACAGTGGTCTGGCGCATGCATGTGTGTATATATATATATATATATATATATATATATATATATATATATATATATATTTATTCGTGAAATCCAACGATGTCCAGACAGTGGATGTCCTCCGAGATGAAGGCTTCGAACTCTGAAACAGCGCGCCTAGCCTTGCGGGCCACGCGGCCGTCAGAGCGCCCCGTCGCCCGCACGACGGCGAAGCACCAGCTCACGTGCTCAGCTGGCGTCTCAGGGCCACGCACAGATAGCTGGTCCTCGGTGAGACTTGCTGCGTAGTGCGTCACTGCCTTCAGGAATTGAAGCCGCTGAAAGGGATGCCAATCGTCCAGGAGATCGCGCGAGATTTCTGCAATATTCCCCTGAAAAGCGGGTTCGCAAGCTACCCGTGAAGCGATCCGAACTACATTGTTGTCTGACTTGGGCCGGCCTGGCCGCAATTGAAGGCGAAACAATGGTCTTCAACTCTCCCGGTAACTGATGAGGACGGGCGCCGATCGCATATCTTCCCCATCGGCGCCGAACAGTATATATTGTCTATTCTGGCAGCAGAGACGATCTTTCCCTCTTGTATTGTTCTGTGCGCACGATAGTCTCGTTGGACTCCAATCAGCCAAGCGAATAGCCTGTCAATGAGCTCACCAGGAGAGTCGGCCCTGCATGCGGGGTCTGCATTTGCGGCACAGAAGCGAGAGTCACCAGGCGAGATGCAGTTGAATTCACCAGCAACAATAGAGAGAGCCTTCGCGTAGACTGGAATGTGGTTTGCAAGACGCTGCATAGCTCACTTCGTTATTTTGGCGGGACATTGCGGCGGGAGGCGCACGTTGTCCATGTTCATCATGCCATGCGCAACCGAACACTGAAATACTGATATTCTGCCAGATGCCAAGGGACGAAATTGGGTATCGCTAAAGTCCGCGGTGGAACTCTTGCGAAGCATTGCGATGATACGACCACTGTGCGCAAGGAGAAATTCACCGTGACATTGAAGGAAACGGAAATCGCTTCGAAGGGACTCGAGATCACCCAGGTGCTCATGGGCCTCCTGCAACAAGATTACAGTCGCCTGGCGAACGATCGAGCGAAGGAGTAGCCGTTATTTGTCCTGGCGAGCGTTTTCGCCCCCGACCGCCACAAATAGGGCTCGGGCGTTCCAGGAGACGATTCTGGAACCGGTCTTGAGATCGCATGGTAGCTGTGGAGCAAATTCAGTGTCACGCATGCTGCAGGCGGTGTCCGCGCCAGAGACAGATGGGGTAGAAGAGCAGGAAGACGAAACAGGAGACAAAGCCAGCCATAACGGAGAAGATGGGGACGGAGGAAAACAAGTAGAACGTGTACCATTCTTGCGCTTAGCTGATCGCGCAGGGGCCAAGCGAGCAAACGCGCTGCCACGCCAACGCAGTGCCGCTCCAAAACAGGCCTGGGATTGTCCATGTGGTTGCGGAGCTTCCTACTGCGAGGCAGACTTGTCCACAATCATAATGGGGGTGCCCACGTCAGCACCGACGGCCATGATCTCCTGCTCGTTTGTGCTGACAATGGAGCGGCCCAAGTTGCCGATGCGATCTTTCAGGATAGGGTGCGCCTCCTCGCCTTTGATGGTCTAGAACTCGTTGCGGAAGCCATTGCCAGACATGCGCATGGTGGAGGTCCAGAGGCCGTTCATGACGTGCTGCTGCTTGACCCGGTCGTAGTATCGCGCCAGCAAACGCTGGCGTTCCCTGACGTCATCAGGAAAGTCCTGCCTGCATGTTATATGCTACTCCCGCCTGTCACGCGGGTCGATCCATGTTGGGCTGAATGTGCCGATGAATTCCCTGAAGGACTTGGCGTCCCCGGCCGTCTGAAACTTGACCATGTAGCTTTGACTGATGCCAGCGAAATAGGTCTCACTCCAGTTCTTACGTTCTGCAGGCAGACGAGAGGACAGCGCGTTGCGCCACGCCTCCCTCTGAGCACGAACGACAGGGCGCGGCCAACCGTTCATCCATACCTTACACTGGTCGGGCGAGGCGGAGGCGGTGAGGTCGATAGTGGCAGCACGCCCAGTAGCACTACCCGTGCCAGGCTGTAGCACCCTGCGCGTATGACCAGCAGAAGAAGAGGCATCTGATGATGCTGGTGCGGACTCGATACGATCCATGCCCTTCTCGAGCTCGGCGGCCCTGTCGTCAAGCTTCTTGGTGTCGGCCTCCTCCTTGAAGGCTGGCAGCAGTGCTTGCATCTGTGTGAGCTGCCCACCGATACCATTGCAGCGAGCTTCTGCACCTCTGTCAAGATAGCAACTTCCGGCATCGCGCAGTGTAAACATCGAGATGCAGTGAAGTGAGCGGCTGAGCTCACGAAAAGGAAAGGGCTCCCAGAGTCCGCATGGGCAGGCGTCTGTGACTCCCAAGCTTGCAAGGCCCTGCGCAACCTCGAGAAATGGCTTACCTGAGCCAAGATGGCTTGAGCCAAAATGGCTACGGATTGTGATGATGATGATGACGGCGACGACGATGACGATGATGATGATGCCTATGATGATATGACGACGCACTTGCGATGATTATGCTGATGATAACGCACGCTACAAACTCGCACGGAAGCAAGCTCACGTCATGAGGTGCCGCGCGAAAAGGGCATTCCCGCGTAAGAAAATAGCGCACGCCACCTAGTCGCAAATCTCACCCCCACTGGGGGAGGGGGGGCGGTCTGGCCCTGGAAACGACGGTTACGCGTCAGAGGACGATTATAATAATAAAAAAATCTCGGCGAGGAGCCAAACAAGCTGGAGCAATGCCTTGCGGATGAGATGGAGGCTTTACTCTCCTCTCTCCCCTGACTCTGTCCGGAGAGTGTCCCGTCCTCTCTGCGTATTGCGTTTTACACACAGGACTTCATTACTTGGGTTTGCCTATGCGTTTTTTCAATCTGGTCGTTTCTGGTTATTCCAGAATGATGCTCCCGCTGCAGCGCCGCTCTCATTTCCGCGCTTCGGTCATTCGAAATCGTGCTCACGTCGTTCCCGCGCCTCTGGACGGCACTCGGCATTCGAAAGCGCTCAGATCGGGCAAGCACGGTTGCGGAGGACATGGAGCCGGCATTCCGGACAAGCCCTGTCCTCTCGTAGCCGGTCACTTACCCTCCAAGTCATCCAGTGCCAGGCCACGGCATGCAATGCGATGTGTGTTATGCACCGCTGTGCGATGCCACGCTTTGCGTTGCTATGCTTGGTGATGCAATGTTTTACTTTTTTTTCACCACTACAACCATCTCAGCGCTGCCTCTGGTAAACGACGTTGGGTCGCTTAAACGTGACCCGAGGGCGAAGTGCTCCCCCGATGAGTGGCGAACGCCGCGCAACTTATGTACACAAGTGTACCAGTCCGAATCATTTTCCGTCGATGCGCAACGAAGCATGCGCCAAAGCGAGCGTGGAAAACCCGAGGTCATATTAGAGACCGGCTGCTCTGAGGTCCGTGAACAACCACGCAAACTGGCAAGAGCATGAGGACTACGCAAGAGGAGGAGGAGGAGGAGGAGGAGGAGGAGGAGGAGGAGGAGGAGGAGGAGGAGGAGGACGAGGACGAGGAGGAGGGAGAACACGCCCTGACAAAAACTCGCGCGTGCGTAGGCCGACCCAGGTAGACGGCACCCGCACAATTACCCTCGCGAGCACGAGCGAAACAAAGGGGGAGGAAGGAGGGGAGGACGGGGAGGAGCAGGACAAAGACACAGTCCAGGAATTTGCGTTGGTTGCTGCAGGGTGTGCGTGGCAATGCTGGCCCGAACCCTGCCGAGCAGGGGCGGGACCAACAGGGCGCGAACACCTGTGAGTTGGGCGGCCTGAAAAAAAAACTACGGAAGGAGGGCGAAGCTGGGAGCAGAGAAGAAACAAGGGGAAACAAGGGAGCGTGTCGAAGTCGAGGGTGTTGTAGCTGTGCTTCTCCCTGACGTCGCGCCCGATGTGGCCAAGCATCGCGGCGGAGGGGCGGCGATGGCGCGGGCCACGCATTGGCCGCGCGCCCCAAAGCGCGCTCAAGCGCGAGTCGGCCATGGCCTGCTGGACCATCTCCGCGACCATCTTCTCGAGGACGATGACGCGGGCGTCCAGCTCCGCGATCGTGACCCGCGGAGTCACCGCGGACGACATGGCAACTGTCACAAGCGTGACCCTCGTCGAAACCGGAACGGAACTCGCAGGGCCTGGCGGCTCGGACTGCGAGGATCGTGAGTCTTTAAGGCGTCCTTTTTGACTGGAGCCACTTGAGCCACGTGATGCAATATTTTACTATACAATGCCACGCCATACTCTGACATGCCATGCTCTGCCGTGCTCTTCTACGCCATGCTTTTCTATCCATCGCGTACCCTTTTGGAACCATTGCCCTGCTCGACATCCGACTGAGCGAATAGATAGGGGATCTACGCCATGGTCAGGGGTGGCAGGGAGGGGTAGGACGTCCGATGTGACGCTAGCACACCTAGCTTGCCCACACCCCTCCTCCTCACCCCTCCCCCATCCTCGTCCTCCCTTCCCCTTCCTCCTCCTCCTCATTCTTCTCCTCCTCCTCATTCTTCTCCTCCTTCTCATTATTCTCCTCCTCCTCCTCCTCCTCCTGCTCCTCCTCCTCCTCCTCCTCCTCCTCCTCCTCCTCTACTCACCTCCTCTCCTCCTCCGCCTCCTCTCCTCCCCCTCCCCTCTCATTTCCCTCATCCGAGCGTGCCGTGTTGAGACGCGATGGCGCCGACGGCAACATCAAGCCCTCTTCCACCTCCTGACGCTCCTGCCTCGCCGGGGGGGGAAGCTGCAATGAAGCAGCGCGATCTCTGGGACGTCAGATGAAAACCGCTCCTCCAGGCCGTTGGTGCTCACCATGCGCTCGAAGAGGCTGGTCCCAAGGCCTTCGGGCGGCGCATGGCAGCCACAAACTAAAGCAAAAGGGCGTAGAGTGGCGGCACAGAAGCGGCTGGCAGTGGTTCGAGTCCTGACCAGAAAAGGCCAGAAGCGGGAGAGAGCGGCATGAATCTAAGCACGCTGTGCAGGAGCCGACCCGTCATTCCAATGACGTCTCTGCACTGCGGGGCCGAGCAGAAGATGGCGTGGCGAGAGGTGAAACCAATCAACACCACTTCCTCCTCCCCCTCCTCCTCATCGAAAGGACCATAATCATCACCACAGCAAATGGCATCATCAACGTCACCATAACTAGCACCTTCGTCACCGTCACCACCGTCATCATCGTTACAATCAACACCATCACGATCATCGCCACGTCGCCGCAATCACCAGCAACATAAGCATCATGGTCTTCATCACCTCTATCATACTCAGAACCCAACGCCCATAATCATCATCAGCATCATCAACAGCATCATCACCGTCATCACCAGCATCAGCCATATCATCATCATCGTCGCCAACATGAACATCATCAGCATCATCCTTCTCGCCACCACCACCAGCGCCATAACCACCATAATAATCATAAGCACCAGCAGCATCATCATCAGCGACATCATCATCATCACCACCACCACCATCATCATCATCATCAGCATCATCAGCATCATCTTCAGCATCATCAACCTCATCATCATCATCATCATCATCATCATCATCATCATCATCATCATCATCATCATCATCATCATCATCGCCAACATTATCATCAATATCATCATCACCAACACGTTCAACATAAGCATTATAAACATACGCTCCATTATCACCATTACCGTCATCATCAACATCAGCATCATTATCAACATCCGCACTATCAACATCCCTGTCATCATCATGATCATCCTCATCATCGTCATCGTCACAACCACCACCATCATCACAATCACGAATAATTCCACCAACATCGGCATGGTCGTCAACATCATCGTCGTCATCATCGCCATCAACGTTTTCGTCGTCATTGTCGTCCTCATCGTCATTGCCTTCATACGCATTTTCCGTGAACACCACGACCTTGTCATCGTCATCCGTGTCATGCCCCCTTAAATGGCCGATCCTCCACAATAGCGTCACCACCCACCATCATGACCGTCACAAAACCACAACTTCCAATCATCCGCCCCTACCCTCATCTATCCCTCCTCCTCATCCGGCCTCATGCCACTCTCCTTCTTTTTGGACATCTTCCACCCTGCTCCTGAACCTTCCCCTCGCCGCTCGACTCTCATTGCTTCTCCTCCTCCCCTTCCTCCTCCTCTTCACTTCCACCATCACCACCATCAATCGATGCAGCCTAATCGTCCTCATCCGCCTCGCCCCTCGTCCTCCCCCCTCCCCATCCATCCCTTGTTGTGCTTGGTCAGAGGTTCCACACTTCCGCATAATAGTCCAACTATTGTGATATAGCTTCTCCAGATTCTCCTAGCTCAAAGGGTCTCGTCGATAGGACATTGTGCATGATAGTCCCGTTCATGTTGATAGGCGACACGGCGGTGATGCGGCACTCGCGCGGGCACACCCTTTTCCAACTACATGGGCACAGCGCGCGCTCCGAAGTCAGGTTCGCCGATCGCCTCAGTTGAGGAACAAGCGTTGCTTGAGCCAAACGCCCGCAGCGGCGGGCGGATGGTTAGTAAACTGACGCAAGAAAGCAACATGCTGTTGACTGTCCCCGCGTCCGTACCGGGGCAGCTGGGTCCTCATGTGCCGACCTTCGGCACACCGCGTCTGGAAGCGCCAATCCCAAAAACAGACTACGGCGATCACCATCCGCGAAGGGCTTACTCCCGCTGCAGGGGCAAGGACCCCAGAGCTCAGCGGAGCCCAAATTTCTTTGACAGGCCCGCGGGGCACCCCAGCGCTGATCCTGCGGCTCGCGACGACCTCGTCCAGTTCTTACTCCAGCCGCCGCCATAGTTGTCTCCCTTGTCAAATTTCTTATCGAAGTCGAAGTTCCACGAAGACTTGCCACGCTCGTCCGTCCACTTTCCAGACTCGTCGTCCCATTCATCCTCGCGCCAACCGCTCCCCGAGCTCCAAATACCACCGCTGCCACTGGCAGCGTCCTGATACTTATTATATCCACTCGAAGTCCAGCCGACATCGCCTGCAATGCTGGCATCAGAGTCTCTACTGTACCAGTTGCCTTCATCCTCTTCGCGATTCTTACTTTTGCCGCCCTCACAGCGACCACTGGACTTGTAAGAGTTCCATCCCCCTTACCGCGCCCCTGCCCATTGAGCTTGGCCGCTTCAACGCCGGCAGGGGGCCTTCGTTTTCCCCCTGGTCGTCGTCCTCGTCCGTTTACGTTTCACCGACGCTGATCGAGGCGATCCCCACGTGTGGATATTATTCCTCATCCTTCTCCTACCACTACTGCTCCTCGTCATTATCATCAAAATCAGCATCATCACCATCAGCAGCAGCTCCAGCATCCGCATCATCATCGTCATCATCATCATCATCATCATCAGCAGCAGCGGCAACAGCCGCAGTATCATCATTATTAGCAGCATCGACATCATCAGCATGATCATAAGCAGCAACAGCATCATCATTCTCGTCAACATCATCAGCATCATCATCACCATCATCACCATCATCATCACAACCTCCACCACCACCACCACCATCATCATCATCATCACTACCACCACCACCACCATCATCATCATCATCAGCAGCATCAGCATAATCATGATCAGCATCGTCATCGTCATCGTCATCATCATCATCATCATCATCATCATCATCATCATCATCATCATCATCATCATCATCATCATCATCATCATCATCATCATCATCATCATCCATCATGATTATCATCATCATGATTATCATCATCATCAGCATCATCATCATGATTATCATCATCATCGTCATCATCATCATCACCATCATCATCGCCCAAAACGGCCAGCGGCGGGGTCCGTCGCGCTGGGCCAGCTTCGACAGCACCGTGGCAGGGAGCTGGGCGTGGTCCCCGACCAATACCGCCTCTCGCGGCACGACAAGATCTACGACGAGGAGGACGAGGAGGGTGGAGGAAGAGGAAGAGGGGGGGTAGGAGGAGGAGGTGGAGGAGGAGGATGAGAAGAAGGATTGGAGAGGAGCAGGGGGGAAAAGGAGGGAGAGGAGGTGGAAGGGAGGGGGAGGGGAGGCGGCCAAGCGAGGAGGAGAGGGAGGGGATGAGGTGGATGCAAGAAAAATGATACTTGCTAGGGTGACCTCTTTTAGCCTCCTGCAACAGAAGGATGGAAAGCGGATCCGCTTCAAGCGAACCTACCGTCTGAAAGGCAAGCCGGTCAGACGACGGTCTCCCAATGGGGGGCGCCCCCTGCAGAGAAAAAGAAGAATGCTTGCAGAATTGGAAGGGATGGCCCGTGGGACGGGATGGCGCGGCGTACTGAGTGTGCATATACTCAGGTCGGGAGATGCCCCTGGCCGCGCAACCAGCGCAGGTGCATCACGTATAACGATACCAGGTGCCTGTGAATGCACAGAATGCATGGCGTTGGTGGTGGCTCGTCGTTGCGTTCTGCGCGGTCATTCGCCATGACCTGCAGGACTAGCCTGTAGGTCATCACCCCCCCCCTTCAAGCAGCATCGTCATCGCCATCGTAATCATCAGATCCACCAAGAGTAGCATCAACGACATCACAACCACCACCACCATCACCACCATCACTACCATCAGCATCACGGCCATCACCACCACCACCACTACCACCATCATCATCATCATCATCATCATCATCATCATCATCATCATCATCATCATCATCATCATCATCATCATCATCATCGCCATCGTCATCATCACCACCATCACCATCACCACCATCATCATCGTTACCATCAAACTCGACAGCAGCAGCATCAGCGTCGGCATGCCTATCGGCATCATCAGCATCGGCATCATCATCACTAGCATACTCATCATCATCACCACCACCAGCATCATCATCATCGTCAGCATAATCACCATCATCATCATCATCATCATCATCATCATCATCATCATCAGCACCATCATCGTCAGCATCATCACCATCAGCAGCAGCGTCATCGTCATCGGTATCGTCGTCATCAGCATCATCGTCATCATCATCGTCATCACCAGCACCAGCAGCATCGTCATAATCGTCAACAGCAGTAGCAGCACCAGCATCGTCATCGTCATCGTGATCATCATAAACATCATTACCATCATCAACATCATCCACAGCATCAGCATCATCCGCAGCACCAGCAGCAGCATCATAATTCTCCTCATCATCACCGCCACCACCCCCACCACCATCACCATCACCATCGTCAGCATCAGCATCATCATCGCCAGCATCATCAGCATCAGCATCATCATCACCATCACCATCGTAATAGACATCACCATCGTCATCATCATAATCATCAACAGCAACAGCATCATCATGATACGAATCATCATCATTGCCATCATCAGCATACTCGTCATCGGTATCGTCGTCTGCATCTTCATCATCGTCGGAAGCATCAGCATACTCAGCATCATGTTGACTATCATATTCGTCATCATCGTCGTTCCCATCCTTATTCGCATCCTGATCATCCTCCTCATCCTCATTCTAGTCTTCCGCCTCCTGCTCCTCATCCTCCTCATCATCATGCCTCCTCCTCCTTCTCCCCTGATCCTCTTGTTCCTCTTTCTCATCATCACCATCAGCAACTATCACCATCATCACCAGCATTATCAGCATCACCACCATCATCATCATCATCAGCATCTTCCCCCCCCGTCCTCCTCACTCGTCTGGACCTCTTTACCTCCCTCTCAGGCTCCTCCTCCTTGTCGAATTGCTCATGTGGTCCTCCCCGTCCTCCTCCCACACCATGTTCCATCATCT